GGAAATCGTCAGCAAGGCAAGCCTGTGAGCATGTGTGATGTGAGCAGGTGAAGGTGCCAGGGCTCTGAGTGGCACACGCAGCAAAGCACTTGCCTTCTGGGGCCTCTGTGTCTCCTGGAGGTTAACATGGGCAGTTTTCACTCTTGTTTAGCTTTCCTGGCCCTTTGAAGAAATACATGCATGTACACACACATATGTGCACACACAACCCATGCATCCATACATTCACACACATGAACACATGCACACAAATGTGCATGCATGCACACATAGACTTCAGTGCACATGTGTGTGCATGTACTCCCATGTGCACACACCCCACATATGCATACGCACACACACATGCACATGCACACACGGACACACACAGTCTTTTACGTCTATTCAAGAGGAGATTTTTTTCCTCTTGAATTAAAAAAATGTTTTAGGATAAGTGAATGTGATGCAGAAGTTGTCTTGGCCATCATATGTGCATCTCCTGGCCTCTCCCAGAAGCCAGGCCATGGCCACATGATCACTTGTTCTTTAGATGGGTCTTCTTTTTCACATTTTCTTGCTCCCTTGAAAGTCGCTTTGTACACTTGGTACTGAGCATACTGTGGCATTTTGCAGTTTTTTCCTGTACTACTATAGTTAAGGATGTTGTGGTTTCTATTATAAACATAAGTTTATAGGAGTTTATAATGTGTTTCAAAAAATACTTAAGGATGTTGGTTTTGCGCACTGGATTTCAATGGTGTGCTTCTCTTCTCTAATTTTTTTCAAAGTAGGATTGCTTATTCCACATTGTCTGCCGCTTAAGATTTCAGACTGTATTACCCACCCATGAAAGACTGGCATAATGAAGAGTGTTGCCCCTGTTTACAGAGACCTCTAATGTCCTCCAGAGAGACTGAGTGCAAGGTCACACAGGGAAGAGGTAATGAAGGTGAGCGAGGTTAAGTTGGAATCCAGAAGTCTAAGAGCAGCTCCCTTAAACTCACCTATTTTAGTTGACAGGGAGGGGAATACCTGTTCTTTTCTTCTACTACTTTTGGTTGCTTTGGTCAGTAGCCTCTGGGACCACCTTTGCACACTTGATCAGACTTTCTGCTGCTTGTTGTTTCTGATAAGCCATGTGCTTGTTATTGGTATTTAGATGTGGTGACCAATGAGATGAGCAGGATGAGTACAGCAGAGCAATCAGAATCTCAGCTGCAGCCATCTAGTCTCTCTCTGAGTACCAAAAGCATAGCGTAGTTGGCTTCACTCAGGAGCACTGGACAAAGCCAAGGGCTTAAATTCAAAGAGCAGGCTCGGAAGCAGGGCACAGTGGGACTTCACATTGCACCCAGCAGCATCTGGGATCCACTTGGAGTTCAGGAACCTTTGCACAGGCAGATGAGACTTGGAAGCCAAGAACTGGGGAGCCGCAGGGGGAGCCCCACAGGTACATTGACATTGGGGAAGCCAGGCGGCAAGGCCATTGCCCCCAGGTCCAGTTCCTTCAAGCGTGTCTGGCAGGAGCAGAACTTCCCACCATGGGTAGAGCCAAGGTCTTGGGAGCAAAGGAAACCCCAATTACCAGGACCACACTAGACTGTCAGTGCACCCTTCCACAACAAGCCAAATCAGTACTGAAGAGGGCTGCAAGGAAAGTAAGAGTAACGTGTGCATTTCAATTCATCCCCTTCTTCCTTCCACTTCACATCTGATAGTGTTTTCTAAAAGCCACACACAGGTCACCTACAACTTCGGTTAAAATGTGTTTGAGAACTAAAACAAAAACCGGTTCTCACTGAAGGGTACATGCTAGTTCTTTTCCAGGCATTTTCAGGGATATTTTCCTCGTATTAAGATTTTCTTGGGCCAGGATTTAGCTCAGTGGTGCCGCCACCTGCCTCGCAAGCACAAGGTCCTGACTTTGATCCCCAATACAAAAAAATTAAAAAAGATTTTCTTTTATTCTTGTTAATAAAGCAAGTGAGTAGTATGATTAATATGCAGCTTTAAAGGATGAAGGTTAGGTATATGCGTGTGTGTGTGTGTGTGTGTGTGTTTAGATGTACAGCTGGGTATAAAGGTGGTGGACTCAGTCACCACAAAGATGTCAAAAACAGCTTCTCTTTAAGGGACTTCTCACACTTGAGGTTCTAGATTCCACACAGTCTTATTTCTCATTTCATTAGGTAAGTGACATGGTTTTTTACTTGATCTGCAAGCTGGAAGTAGGAAAAAAAATTCTGTGTGGTGCTTGTTAACTAGAGCCATATCTAATAAGCTACTGTAATCTTTGTGCAAATACAGTAGTTTTGTAGCTGGATTCTGGCACAGAGATGGGACACTGAGGCTTATCTTTCCAGGGAGCAGCTTTACTCATGCCAGCACGGGCCCAGTGGCCTGATACCCAAAAGGCTGAGCCCTGATGATGTCCACATTTTGCCTTTTATGCAATTTTTCTGCCTTTGTCTCCCTTAAATGGTAATTCACTAATATACTGCAGCCTAATTTGTTACAATCTATGTTACAGAGCCATACTAGAACTATACATGTGTATCTAGGAACTAACTGTGCCATGTTGCCCTTTTTTGTTCTGAGAAGGCCCTCACTGTATTCCTTTGGGAGGGGCCCTGCCACAGTTTGCTTAGATGAGTAGGCTCTCATAGAAATTATTTTATTGCTGAAATGATCACACAGCATACAAATGCCAAAGTGTATTCAAAGGACCTTTGCTTTTTACTTTCCAGAGGTCTTTGTCAAAGGCTTCAGAATTAACTTGAAGATTTGTCCTAATGACATCTGGCCAATTTTAGTCTAGTCTTTAGTATTTGTCTAGTTTAGCTTTTGGTAGTGGTAGAGAGTTATCCTTATGGTAACCAGTGGTTTATTGTTCTTTAGTGGTTTGGGGTCAGAAGTTGTTTCTGTAGTCTTCGAGGTCTCCAGTCCAGGATTTTCAGGATCACTTTAAAATCATCTGTATTCTCTGTTTGCCTTGTGGAATCCCTAATGGGTTGATAAAAATGGGTCAGTAGAGTAAAAAGTCCTGATTAGGCAATCATGATGACCAGGGAGAATTTCCCTCACAGATGTACACAAGGTCTGCACCTTGGTTCAGTGAGCCAAGCACGTGAGCCTGGGGGTGCCATGGTGGCTGCACACATGTGGGTCAAGAGCATGGCACAGCCACAAAGCGCTGAGGGGACCAGGGCTAGGCTGACAGGTAATATCCCCAGAAAACACAGAGGATAATGTCCCACCCTGCACTCTCAGCCCCAGCCTGGGCCCAGCCTGGGTCAGTTTGGGGTTCTCTAGTTAGCTGCATAAATTCCAAACACATTCAAGGCAGAGTGGTCAGGATGAAGAGAAAATGTGAAACCATGTTTATCTAAGGAAGAGCTGGAGGAACTAGGATGTTTGTTTTGGAGGAGAGGGCACAGAATCACTGTCTTCACAGAGTAAAGTGCTGCAGTGAAGAACAGTGAGTCACATGTCCTGAGTGAGCTACTTCAGAAGTTAAATCATTTCAGATCTCGAAGATGGCCATGTTTGGCACATGATTGCTGGATTATGAATGATCTGAGAAACTCCCTCTCACCTCTAAGATCCTGGTTCTGCTTTTAACCGTCTCCATGCTGCAAATGTTTCTGGACCACTGTCCATGTTCTGAGAGCTGTGTGGGCCTAGGGAGCTCCTGGCTGGGCCTTGAAAGAGCACTGGGCAGAGTAGGGCACAAGTCTCGGACTGAGGATGGCCTATGCAGCTGTGTGGAAGCTGGCCATATAAAGGGCGGAGGCCAAGCACTGGCCCGGGCAAGAGGAGGGAGTGGTGTAGGTGGAGGGTAGTGGGTACCAGGCAGCAGGACTGGGCAGATTCTCCTTAGTGCTGAACTGAGCTTTGAGTCTGGGAGTTGTGGCCTGGGGTAGCTCATTGGGCATGAACATAGGAAGGCTGAGGATGGAGGGCACTAGCAGTGAGGCCCCTACAGCCTCCTCTGTGAGGCTGAGGTTTCTTACCTCCAGTGTAAGGGCCTGAGTGATTCTGCAATAGTCTATGAGAATCAATTCACTTAATGTCCTCCTTTATAATTCTGCTTTGGCCCACAACGTCAGTGGCATTATGAGCCTTTGGGTACAAATGGAGTCACATTGGCACTAACACTCCTATTCCACTCACATGTCAGGTGTCCTTGGACGCCCTTAGCGATCTCACCCAGGTACCTCTGGGGCCCTTGGGACATCTCACGGATACATCAGCTGACCTCTGCACTCTGCCCTCACTCCTGTCACAAGTATCACCTATGAGCACCTGAGGGACGCCTCTGTGCCAGGTCCACTGGTGCCACATCCTCTGTGACCATGCTGACAGCGCTAGGTCCAGGCACTGCAACCCTCATGATGCCAAGTTGACCCAGTACTTCACTGCCACGTCACCACACTGTTCCCAGCTCAAGTAGGGTGAATAGTCGACTTCTATGTTTTGTGTTACTTTTTGTCGCTTGATAGTAAAATGGGACTAAATGGGCCCTGTATCTCACAAAATCCCTCTTGAAGTAAGCCCTTTGGTTTCGGTCTGCATCCTCACAGCTGTGGCACCATAGCTGAGACATCAGGGTTCTTTCTCCATTGCAGGGTCCCCAAGGTATCCAGGAGTCCCCAGTCTGGGCCAGCTCTTCTGAGCAGAATATAAGGCAGCTCCCCACCAGGTCATCAAGTGGAGTGCACAGAGGTTAATCTGATTGTCACTACTTGTACTCTACCCGACTCAGGTCTGGTCACTTCTTACAGATCATCTCAGTTGCCCTGGTCCTTGAAAGGGAGGCCAAGAGAAATCAGTGACTTGTTCACGGTAAAGCAGCAGACAGAGCTGAGTCCCAAGCCAGGCTGGCTTGGAGCAAGGCAGACACCAAGCTTTGTTCCAGCACTTGCCCATAAGCGATCATCTGCACAACCTACTCAGCAGTGAAGGGCCCACTTGGCTTATTGTCTTCTTTGCATAAACTCAACACTGCCTTCTCCCTACAGGGCTGGGAAGAGACCGTGGACACTGCCGTGTCCCATCTATTGAAAACTTGCCTGTCAAAGAGTCCCAAGGAGCAAGCTTTGAACCTCAGCAGCCACCTGAACATGCCCAGGGACACGAGCCAGCTGAAGAAACACATCAGCCTGCTGTGTGACAGATTGGCGAGAGGCGGGCGACTCTGCCTCAGTGCCGACGTGGCCACCCCGAAGACCATTGTCATGCCAGGTAAAGGCTCTGCCCTGCTCTCTGAGCACAGCTGCCATTCCCCAAAGTCAAGGGATGTGCCTGTGCATGGATTGGGGCTTCAACTTCACATTAAAGCGATGATAGCCAAGAAAATTGCTTTTGTGTTTCCTGCGGTTATCCCTGGGTAACCACTTGGTGAATATTCATGGGGTATTTGCTTGCTAGACATTTCTCAGATGGGATGTCCCTAGAAAAAAGAATCCATCTGCTTTTAAGTATATGATCCATTTAGTTTTGCTTCTATAAAAAGTCAGAGAATATAACTGTTTGTGAGGAAATTTTCCAATTGTGATCTCACCACACTGTATTTCATGAATGTACGTGGCATGACACAGACAGTAATGCATGCCAGTTAGTCAGGCTGCCTCCTCTGTATGCCTGGACTGTGGTCATCAAAATGGCGGAGGAGACACAGGGATGGACCAAGGATCAAGCAAGATTCAGGCCCGAGGCACTTGTGGGCCAGCTCGCCCGACCTGGACATCAGTGAGGACTTCCCACTGGAGCTAAACTACCAGTTGTACAGCTCAGGCTCCTTCCACAGACAGCTGTGCCATATCCCATCTCCCACTTCCCCTTCTCTCCGCAGCAGCAGCAAGAAATGTGACACAAAAGAACTTGTTAATATGGCAACAGTGGTGTTGGCTTCTGTTTCTCTCATAGCTTAGGAAGTGGGGTGGCTTCTCCTGCTCCTTTCTTACTTGCCTTTCATCCACCCCCTCCCCATGCTAGTGCTTTCATAGTTGCCTCCCCCCCCCACCCCATCAGCATTCAAAGAAGTGAAAAGAGAGTCACGTGAATCCTTAAAAAGACAAACAGCAGACAGCATAGCGTAATCTAATAAGCATGGTCTCTGGAGGCAGACAGATCAGTGCTGAGATCCTGCTTGATCCCTTACTACTCAGATGGCCCAGGTGTGCTGCCTGGCAGTGCTGCGTCTTCCTCTGTGGGTGAGTATTATCATGCTTGCCTTGTTGCCAGCATCTTACACCTAGCCCAGCATTTGGGATACAGACACACTCAAAAAACTCGAGCTGTAATTATTATCAGTGTTGATATATAATAATCCAGCCTCTCAATTTAGAAACGAGAAAACAGCTGGCTTGGAGTCACAGGACTCCACATTCTACAGTTTGAAACATTTTTACATTAACTACACACAGAACCCGACTTACTCCAAAAGCAGCCTCTTATTTGGCCTTTCAAGATAGAAATGCCTTCCACAGAGACAGTTCTGACACTGCTGGCCTTCACACAGGTCCTCTTCGGCTCACCTCATAGCAGCCTCTTGAGCTGGCCTCTGGACTCCGTGTACCCATCTCTGTCCACTGCTGCAGGGTATTTTCCTAAGAAATAAACATCAGTGCCCACTGAGACAGTAAAGGAAAACTCTTGACTTTAACTGGCAATCAGGAAATGGCTCTCTCTCCCTGCCTGCCACAGGAGAAGCAAAGGGTCTTGAATGGGAAGGGACAGCTGTGTAAAAGGAAAATCTGAATAAAATGAGGCCAGTCCACCTGGGCAGCGGGTCCCCTGTCAGGCTGGTGACAGGAGACCAGGTTCTCTCCAGAAAGGAGCAAGCACGAGGAGCCCAGGGACACCACGGTGGGCACTGGCCCCCTGCTGCCTGGTCACACTCACTGATCACAGAGCTCTCATTTTCCTTTCCAGGACTGAGCGATGTGATGGCTGTGTCCATATCTAGGATACAGAGCAGTGAAGCCTTCAACAAAGGATGTTTGCATAGGTGGAATCAAGGGGCAGAGAAGAGGGGAGGAGAGCAGGGAGGGAGGCAGAAGTAAGAAAGGAAGAGCTAAAGATGTGCTGCTCACGCCCATTGTGTGCCCCGTGCATGGCCAGGAAGGGAGACAGAGGCTGTGTGTTGCTGTGTCACTGTCATGGCCACACTGCTCTCAAACTGTGAGTGACTCTGGGTCCACTTCGTTGGCCACTCTGGGTCCAGCAACTCTCTTACACCTTGTCTGGATCTAATCATTGTAGTGAGTTGTTAAAAATCATTGCATCGATGTCTGTCATTGGCATGGTCACTCCCTGCCTATAGTACTTTACAAGCCTGTTATGGCTGTGTCCAGATGTCTCCCCGAAGCCTCATGAGGTCACAGACAGGCTTTTTCAGAGGTGGATGGATCTAGAATGTGTTATGCTGGGATTGATTCATGGTACAGTGCTAGACTCAAGGGCACTAGGATTAAAGGTGTGAGTGCTACCTGCCCTGAGTAGCACAGATAAGATAAAAGGGGCAGAAAGGCGCAGTTAAGGTCCCTTGTTGCATTTGCTACCATGTGGTGCCATGAACTTTTCTCTTCTCTGATGCCCGTCTGCCATGTGCCGCCTTGCCTTGGAGCCAGCTGACTATGGATTGAAACCTCTACAAACTGGGAAGTAAATAAATCTTTCCCCTTTTAATTTAGGGTGTTGATATTTTGTCTTAGCAATGAGAGAAAAGTAACTAAGACAGACATTGGTACCAGAGAAGTGGAGTCATTGATGTGACTATATCTGACCACGTGGTTTAGGAGCCTTTGGAGCTGGCTTGTGGGAAGAGCTTGGAGAGGTTTGGAGATGCCAGCTGAAAAAGTAAAGCTGGACTGCCTTAGGCTGTGCTTGCTGGTGGATTCTCATCAGAGCTCAGAAGACCTGAATGCTGACAAAAATGATGCCTGTAAAGACCAGACTCAGGAGGTTTCTGCTGGGAAGAAGGACTGTACTGGCTGTTGGACTCCAGATCATGTGTATTATGGCTTGGCAGAAAGTTCCTCTGCATTTTGCTCGTGTCTGGAGACTTTTTCTGAGACTGAGTTTAAGGGCAGTGGACTAATTAATCTGGCAGAAGAAACTTCAAGGCAGTCTAATGTTGGGGCCATTGCATGGCTGCTGTTGGGGGCTTTCAGCCAGATCTATGTTGTGAGTCGAGAGCAGAGAGCCCAGCAGAATGATTTAAAATGTTTTGAGTTTGACTAGAAAGGAAACCCCAGTAAAACTGGGGACTAGAAAGATAGAGCAGAGGAGATCTTGATTGCTGAGAAAGAACAGGAGAATTAAAAAAAGGATGACCTGAGATCATCACACAAAACAGCAGGACTCCAGCCTTTGCAGCCTCAAAATTACAAAAGTGAAAGACTTTGCTTTGAGAAGAGAGTCCCAGAGCACCATGTTCCAGAATGGCACAGGCCTAGGGAAGTTGTTCCTTGGGATTAGGTTCATAGGCACCGGACTCCTATAGCCAAGAGAAAAGGAAGCCTAGCTATTGCACCAGCTGACAGCAGACCTTGGCATCATCCATGTGGTACCGGTTTTAGGTGTATGCAAGAGATGTGGGGTCAGGAAGGCTTCACCCAGATTTCAGAAGGAGGCCTGGGAGGCCAGGCAGTGTGTGAAGCCGAAGGTGCAGTGGAGAAGCCAGAAACGTGGGTTGTCTGAGGAGAATTGCAAGGAGGGAGCAGAACCAGCCCAAGAACGAGCCACCATAAGTGTCATAGGGGTGGAGCCACCCAAGTCCTTTGGAGTTCACAACTTGCCACAGATTGCCAGGGATGCTGGAAGTGAACTGTGGGATTAAATGTTTGCCCTGCTGGATTTTGGACTTGCTTTGGTTCCATTCCTTTGTATCCCCCTGTTTGTAACTTTTGGAATGGAAATGTCTATCTGGTTCCATTGAATGTTGGAAGTGTTTGACTTTCTTTTCTTTTGTACAGGGGCTTGCAGCTAAGGGTTTGCCTTAAATCTCAGAGGAGACTTTGGATTTGGACTTTTCAGCAGTGCTAAAAATGTTAGGACTTTTGGCAACTCTTGGTGATAAACTAAATGCCTTGTGCATAAAGGAATGTGCATGAGTCATTTGGGAGCCAGGGGTGGAATGTTATGGTTTGTGTCCATGTGTCCCCCAAAGCTTCGTGTGGTCATAGAGGGGGCTTTTTCAGCGGTGGCTGAATCTCGGATATATGACTCTGGGACTGATTCATGGTGCAGTGCTGGGTTCTAGGGCACTAGGATTAAGGGTTTGAGTGCTACCTGCCCTAAGTAGTCTGGAGAAGATAAAATGCTATTATGGTCCCTTGTTGCATATGCTACTATGTGAGTGCCATGAGCTGCTTCTCCTCTTAGCCCCTCTGCCAAGCCGCCCTGCCTTGGAGCCAGCTGATTATGGACTGAAACCTGTACAAACTGTAAAGTAAATATACCTTTTCCCTTTTAATTTAGGGTGTCAGTATTTTGTCTCAGCAACAAGAAAAAAGTAACTGAGATACCTCCCTAGAACTCAAAAGATTTCCCACATTTTACCCTCGACACAGCATATTTTTGAGGTAGAAGAAACATTGAGAATTAGTACTACTTACAGATAGAAGATAGAGGCAGGAAGGGAGAAGTATTTTGGTATCATGTCCGGAGTTCCATGGTCACTGGAGGTTGAACCTGGAGAGATCCCCAGCCCACCTGCTCCCTACGGACCAAGGATCACAAAGATGCAGGCTGCGTCCAGCCGGGGCCTCCTCCTGTGTAAGCTGTGCTTGACCTGGCCTCCTTGCACTTAAACAGGTCAGTGGTATGGGAGGGAAAGACCAAGAGTTTCACCCGGTCTCAGTTCTTTTCTATGAGGAATACTTGTTTGTCATATATTTGTTTTATGCTTAATTTTTATTTTCTCCATAAATGGCATGATATCCTTACAGACAGTAAGGAATACTGGGAGTTTTTCTGCTTCCAGCCTATAACCGTGCAATTTACAGTGTTAGTTCAGCTATATAGTTGTCTCAGAATACACAAAGATAAAGTGGCATACTAGAAAGCAGATCACGGAACACAGAGCATTCAGCATTTTTCACATACATGATCCTTGTTTTTCACGAGTTAGCCAAGAAGTTAGAAATGCTCTGGTTCCCCTCCCTCACTGACAGCTGAGGTAATGAAGGTCTGAGAAGGTGCAGTGACTAAGTGGTCCACCAAAGGCAGGACTGTGT